TTTTTTTTTTTATTCACGTGGCGCATTTTTTCGGCAAAAATTTCAACATTTTCACTGAAATGAATTCTCAGAGGAATCGGGGCGCGGCCGAAGGTCCCACGAATGCGGCATATTAGATTATTTTCCCGTGCATTATTTTTTCACGATCGATTTCTTGATGTGTGTCCTCCGTAAAGTGAAGAATTCTTGCAAATCGAATGCTGATGAAACCATATTTTTCTTGCTTTTGCGAACAGATCAGTCCGAAGATGACCATGGATTCCGGTCCGACGAGCGGGCCGATCGCAGCGCGCCCTGTCGTCTCGAGTGGGCCACTGATGACGATGCCGCTGCCTGCGGGCTCCACTACCACAACGACGACAGCCACTACACCGGCGCCGAACGGCGCCCACACCCTGAACCCCGGCGTGGTGAACGGTGCCACGGCGCCGCGCGGCCAACACCTGTGTCACGGCTGCGGGAAACGCATCGGCGACCGCTTCCTCCTCAAGGCCCTGGACGTGTTCTGGCACGAAGACTGCCTCAAGTGCGGCTGCTGTGACTGCCGCCTCGGCGAGGTCGGCTCCTCGCTGTACACCAAGGCCAATCTCATTTTGTGCAAGCGCGACTACCTTAGGTGAGATACGCGTAACCCTTTTCTGCAACGACGAGCGAAGCTTTCAAGTGTTCGAAAAACTGCGACAAAATCGATGAAAGAATTTACTGTGCAGTGATGCACGAACGCGCATGCGCAGGCCGCAGCGAAAATTTTCAGTAGCAGTTTCGCGAAAGAAAAAAAAAAACACTTCAACGTTTATGGCGTAAAATATTCGGAAAAAATACCGTATTCATCCCAATACCACGCTAACCTTTTTTATTTAAAAAAAATGGTCAAAAAAGTGGGGTGCACGTGGAATGTGGGTATAAATTTGAAAAAAGGCACTAAATCATAGAGGAATAAGTTTGAAGTTAGTCTTAGTTGCCAATAAAATTAATATTTTGAAAACAAACAGTGGTTAGGACAAATTTTACGAGATAAAAGAAAGTAAATTAATATTTTTTCAAGTCAACGTCTGAAGGTAGACCATTTTTTTTAATCTAAAAGTCATTTGTTGTTGACCCAAAGAGGTTTCATGTAGGAATGCGTTCTTGGGCAAATTTTGCCCCGAAAATTCGCGTCTTAATTGGGGGCGCGTGGTACTCAAAAAAATATGGCATATAATCAACGGTAGGCATATAGACTGATAAAATGTTGACAATTTTTCCGAGAAAAATCGGTAAAATTAGGTAATACACTTGGCCGCACCTCAGGAAAGAACTGGAAAAAGACCTTACTGTTCTTTGTATGTTTAAAAGCTTTTGACCCCGTTGTTTTATTTGATAAGTATTTTAAGACCAAAAGTGCGCGTACATACCCGTCTTGAACCTAAAACTCGTCGGCAAAATGGACAAAAGAGTGGATCTGCCGCAGAAAATTTGAAAACTGTTTGGTAAACATTAAGCCTTTTATCTAATAGATGTGCACATCTTCCCGACCAAAATTCCAAGAGTAGATAATACGTGTCGACACCCAGCTCGATTTAGTCCGTCATTTAGACATTCTCTTTTATGTGTAAAGCTGTTGCAAGAAGTTGTGATTATTGATTACAACAATCATGGCCTTCCAAACATTTTTAATGAACAATCTTGAATTGTTGATTCCATGAAGGACCCAACCCGAAAAATACCATGTGCAAGTATGCATGACCTCGATGTAACTCATTAGTCCTCAACTTCTTTCATCCGTGTACAAACCGACGTCAATTCCAAAGAACCACTGTCCACTTTTTTTTTCTGATTTCGGCAATCCTATCCACAAAAAAGCGCATCTCTTGAGTTGCTGATTGAATAAAAAAAATTTAAAAAAAATTGAAGCTTGAATCTTTCTGGACTTGACCTCATTTTTCTCTTGGACTAAAATTGACGGATTGTTAGTTCAAGAACACCTGTTCGAGAATCCGTCGAGGCTTTTCGCTCGTGCGCCACAAATAACGCCTCGAAGGTGGCTTGTCAGTCTCTTTTCCCCATTAATTAAGCGGATTCGCGCAATTATATGCCGCTACCATGATTCTTGGCAGTTTTTTTAAAGAAAAAATAAACTACATAGATTGCAGACAAATTGCAAATTTCGGGTAGGAAGATGCGGCCAATGCTCGCACAAAAGATTAATTTTGTTTTTGGCCCATGTATTTTTACGGAAATTTTAAAGAAATTGAGATTACCGTGCGTGGGCTCGGTCGTGGTACTTGAATTATACTAAATATATGTCTTTCTGGGCGGAAATCTTGTGGATTTACAGCACCCTTTTCCGAGTCGAGGTTTTAGTTTTTCTCATGTCCTCCTGAATTTATCTACATTTACTTTATTTGTATCTGTGTGATCTCGTATATAAGTCGCACCTTTTTGTGACAGCGAATTATCTTTGAGAATATCGACCGAAGGCCGCATACATGATTTTTTCAATGTCTACTTAAATTTGTCCTTCAAAATATGACGAAGTGAAAGTTGCAGGTTGAATTTGAATACACTCCTCTAATTGCGTTTTTAGTGAAATGCTGAAACTTGACGCGCAAAAAAAATCGTAAGCTCAGCAATCTGTTGACATAAACCTGGAGACGAAACGCGCCCGCAAAATTCGCTGATAATCGATCCCGTTTCCCTGTTTCCTCACTTTTCGTTCAACGCGAGTGCTGCAACAAAAAAAAAAAAAAAAAAAAAGGACA